TTCTAAACATTCTACATTCTACATTCTAACGTTATTTAAGTCGTTTTTATGAATTAAATCTATATTTTTGACTTAAATCATGATGATTTGCAAGCTAAGTCAGTAAAATTATTTAAATCAATATAATTGTCTTCAAGTCAAGACAATCAGAATTCAATTTTAGAACCTTTTTTTAAATGTTAATATTAATTTTCTTTTATTACCAATTAGGCGATTTTCTTACTGAGTATCATATTATTCATTTATTGTAGATATAAATGAGACTAAAACCACATAAAATAAAACGGCTAATTTTCAGAACAACTAAAAAAAAATATGTTTTCTTTATAAAATTTAACCAATTTTGTAGTACTTTTTCTCGATAATATAATCCAACTAGAATGGGACTTAGACATGAATGATAATAAGCTTCATGAAATCAAAAGGGACTATTTTGAAAATAATGTAGTGAACTTACCTAGAATAGATTTCGTTGTGCTCACTAGAATTCGTTTAGGACACACGAAACTTACCCATGAACACCTCCTTAAAGGACAGAATCAGCCCATTTGTGAAACATGTAATCTTCTAATATCTGTCAAACACATTATCTTTGAATGCCCAAAGAACGCGTTAAAACGAAGACAACACGGTATCGTGGATAACCCTTTCCTACCAAAATAACAAGGCTATGTTGGATTATATAAAGGATATCGACATATATAAAAATATATAAATAATGGGATAAAGTGACGCTAAAAGACTCTACAGTCGATGCGTCTTTAACATATATCTCTCTTTATATGTCTATCTATTACAGATAGATGTCATCGAATACATGTCTATTAAAAAGTGGTGATGTGTTTTGATGACTGTGTAATATATCGATGGCATAAGCTAAAGGCTGGAGGATTTTAAGGTACTCTTCAACATATTCGAGATAAATTCAATATATTCCAGATACTTTCGTTTGTCTTTCGGGCTACATAACGGAATCGGGGATTCACTTGAAAGACAACAGACTCACTACGTACGCGTAACACGACAAATCATTAAAACCGGTTCCAAAAAACTTACATTTTATTTGCTAGTGGTACTGAGCATTGTTTTTATATTCTGCTGCTTGGCTGGCAAATGCCTAGCAGTTTAAAAAGAAATGCTGCTGTTAAAAAATTATCATAAAAATATATAAAAATCTGATGATTTTATAAAAAGACTTAAATCTTTTTAATGATTTAAGACTTTTCTAAAAAGACTTAAATCTTTTGCTATTTCGGAATTTAGAACACAAACCATTTTCAAAAAGAGTTGAATTTTATGTCTTAAGTCAGCTTTCGAAAAATGACTTAAAATCAAATGACCTTTAAATTTATTTAAATAAAAAAAGACATAAGTTTTCTGTGAGCTTGCAGCTCTAGGTACCAATCACTAATCCTAAAATCCTCCAACAATATATTGGCAACTATTACACTCATTGTGGTTCGCTCCGTAATAGGTCAAAAAATTAATAAAAAATGTTTTTAAAAAAATTAAATATAAAGCCTTTTAAAACTGCTTAAAAACCAATAAATAAAACGCACATTAACACAAATAATAGCGTATTTAACACCATTACTGCGGTTTAAATATCCCAAAAGGAATGTCTATTTATCATGCCGACTAAAAAAGTCGACCATGCGCTACTGCAAGCGCAATTGTTTCGAAATGGTTCCTCCACAAAACCTAAAACAGTAAATAAGGTCAAAGAACTTGTGTGTGCTGCTTGTAGGGCCTTTAAATATTAAAAGCCCGAGGAGAGCATTACTAGTCGAGTTTATTTAAGAGTTATTTCGGTTCTCACACCATGTTTGAGCGTAAGTACGCGCTTATTGGTTTATCTTATCGGCAGAAGAGGATGTAATCATAATAAAATTGATAAGACGATATCAAATCAAATATGAATTTTGAAAAATAAGTCGAAGTATGTACGAAATTGATGACAATTTACTTTAAAAAGAGTACGCGGTTAAGATTGACTTCATATGCTTTTTGAAATTAATTTTACCCATTTTTATGAAGTGTTATACGAATTTTAAATCAGCGGTTTCTTAAATAATGTGTATTTGGTAAAGTGTGGTTATTAGAAAGTACCGCTACAATTAGGAAAATGGGCATAATTTTCATTAAATTTAAATCAATTTGAACAGATAGAGATTCAATCATGATTAGAACTAACTTCGGACACTCATGCTCTTATAAATATATTTAGGGGCATTAAATATATTTTTCGTTACAAGTAACTGAAAATGCTGATATAATCTATCCAAGATTTTGTTAACATTATTATGTTTTCTAAAGAAACCTTTGGTTTAGTAAAAGATGTTTGCTTCAACAAATTATTAAAACAACTGGACAATACTAAATTGCACTGGAGACACGTTTCGCTAATTATTTTTTATATCATGATTAAAATTAACTTGTGACACCCGTGCATTAATCAAGTTTATTTGAGGAAAATTAAATACATTTTTTATTAAAGCAGAAAGTAGTCTCGACTGACTAGTGAGAAAGAAAATCTAGGAACTAGTGGGGTTGCAGTCGGAAGGGTTTGGCATAGAAGGCTTTTGCGCCTTCACGCCGTAGATTGAGACGCAATTGAATTTTTAATCGAATATCTCTCAATTATTCCAATGTTTTAAATAAATATCAGGCGGCTTAACCGCCCCTTTTTTGTGGTTGACTGGTCAGCGATGCTTCACGGTGGAGTTTTCAATACAAGCCTTTTTTTTAATGTAGTTTTTTATGAAGGTCTCTTGTACCACGTTAATGTCCTGAGGAAGGGATGAATAAATTCCGAAAGCTTGACAATTAACAAAGTGTATTAATTCTATGTCAAACCCTTCCGACTGCAACCCCACTAGTTCCTAGATTTTTTTTTTTATTAAACATACAAATGATTCTATTATATGTGTATATAGTTAAATAAACACCCGCTCATACCCAGCTCGGGATCTTTACTATCAGAAATCAACAGAAGAATAAAGTTAGCATGGAGTACTTATGGAAAAAAACTCGATCATATTCAAATCTAGAATGTCACTTTATCTAAAGAAGAAAACATTCTACTAATGTGTACTACCAGTCGTGACCTAGGCATGCCAAACCTGGGCACTTAAAACGGACATTATAAGGAAACTGTAGGTTGCACAACGCCCAATGGAACGAAATAGTAATAATAATAAGATCGTAAAAGAATAGAGTGGATACGACAAAAGACCCCAGTAATAGATGTCATGTACAGAATCAAATCTCTCAACTGGCAATGGACAGGACAAGCATGTACGAAAAACAGTGAAGAAAGACGAAAAACAGATGAATTACGATCACGAGGAATTACCTAGAAGAAGACCAAACCTGAGATGGGACCATGATATTAAGAAATTAGTAGGGATAACATGGGCCCGCATAGCCAACCGTAGACAACAATGAGCCTAACTACAAAGATATTATCTAAGTATATGAGGAAGGCTACGCCATAATTGGTTGTCTCTGTTCCATAATTGGTTGTCCCTATATCTGTCCAGAGGTTTTCGTCTATTCCTCTTGTTCTGATGTCCTCGTCTATTTCTTCTCTCCAACTCCATCTAGGTTTCCCTATCTTTCTTTTACCTTGTGGTATCCAAATGAGTACTTTCTTTGGGATTATTAGTATTATTTCATCAGCGAAACAAAGAGTGTAAAGTATCGAGTCGTTTAGTGGTATCCCTATCTGTTCGCACTTCCTTTTCCACGTTTTCAGGGCTTGTTCCAAATAAATTTTAAGTAGTGTCGGGGACAGACAGCAGCCCTGTTTAAGACCTTTGTTTATGCTGAATCCCTTTGATACTGTTTGTTCTTTCTTTACTTGGCTAGTGTTGTTCTTATAAAGTTCTTGGATAGCCTTAATTAATGTTATGCTGATATTAATTTTCTTCAGAGCTTCCCACAATGGGGTACACTATCATATGCTTTCTTGAGGTCTACGTAGAGGAGTTGGTTTGGAATTGTATTTGTTGATTTCTTGTCAACTTTTTCTCAATTATCTGTGTCAGTGTAAATAAATGGTCGACCGTTGATCTACCTGTGCTCTAAATCCCGCTTGTTCTTCAGCCTCCATATCCCGGTATTCTTCTTCAATTATTATTTTGACCAATTTTCCATAGATCCTTGAAACAGAGCTCAGCACGGAAATTGCTTGATAGTTATCGCAATCGTCTTTACTTTCTTTCTTGTGTTTAGATTGTTAAAACTCTCATGAGTTTATAAAGTTTTTTTTATGAGGGTTAGTAGAGGAGAGGATTTAATAGATTAATCATTACAAATACTGGTTATGCTAATATAAGTCTTCCGTCCTATAAGATTCTCTCAAAATTATTATATTTTCGAAACTTTGGGTCTAATAAAAAAATGTAAACACTATACACAATATATCAATTCATGTATCCATTTAGACTTTAATAATATAATTATTTATATAATTTTAATACTATATACTATATAGATATATTCAAATGGTGTAGGTACATACTATATAGAATGTCTAGCGGTACGACTTCGGCAACCGGCTCCCTGAATCTTTCCATTTGCAAATCTTTTGAAAAATTCATATTTCTGATTGGAAATAATGCTAATTAAAATCTGCAAAAGTAAGATATGGAAAAGTGCAAACTAAAAATTCGCAATAATCACAAGCATCAACTCCTAAAAATTTGCTAAACTGCTTAACTTTTGTATAAAACGGTACAGTTTAGGTTACTCTGCAATATTAATCCTATATTAAGTTTTTTTTTAATAAGTTAATAAAATTAATTCATCAAAATTATCTCCTTATGTATCGTGGTTACAAAGTTAAGTAAGCAAAAAATCCATTTATACACAAATTATATTAAAACATTTATTTCATAACAATTCTCCCATTTTATTTTCTCTATTCATTATCAAAATTGAAGGGTTTTTTGCAAAAACCACCAATGTCATTTTTTTAACATTTGGTGTTGTCCACACCATCCTTTGTAAAAATCACATCGCCATATTCTGGTAAACGATTATAGCAAAAACTGCCATAGTCAGGTAAATAATACATTTAGAAAATCGCCTAGTTTTGCAAGAACAACCAATGTCCAAGCGAGTTTTGTCAAAAACAGCCAATGTCAACAAAATCGCATACGTCTCGTCACGTCGTAAGTTTGAGTTATTATTTTTGACACATCACGGCGCGGCGTGTGTTTATTTAATAGCGTCTGTTGTTTAACGTTCTTGCTTTGATTTTGTGCTCCAAAAAGTAATCGAAGATCAATAGAAACGTGATGTAACGTGACAGAATGTCGTCGAATATTCTGAGAGATCCTGATTCCACCGTTGAATGGCCTGCAAAAAGGAAAAGGAAACCAAGAAAAAGTGAGGTTATAAAAAAGTTGAAAGTAGCTGGAGCGGCCCATAAAAATCATAAGGGCATTCCTGTACCTGCTAGGTATACAGGAACAAACTGTGGGTAAGTTTTTTAATTAAAATTTTGTTTTTATTACACCTAAATATTTTTGGTGTAACACATAAAATGTATTTTTCTTGTTTTGAGACTGTTTTTTTTTGTTTCAGTTGTAAACGCTATAAATGTTTTGAGAAGATTGGTTTTCAAGAGCGCCAAATCATCTTAGACAACTTTAATTCACTCTCTTCGAAAGATCAGCAAGACAGTTACCTGGCGGGTCTAATTTCTTTTAAAAACGTGAAGCAAAGAAGGCCAAGAAGAGTTCGTAACGACGAAGATGACGGCGATGGTCCTTCATTTGATCATTCTGTTGCTTTTTACTACAAAGTTAGAACCACTGGGAAGGAAGAAGCGTTATGTCATACTGCATTTTTAAGCTTGCACGGGATTTCAAGAGGTCGACTTAGAAGAATTCAAGACTCTATCAGGGTTTCTGGTTTACCTCCTTGTGATGCACGTGGAAAACATGGTAATAGGCCATCTAAAACACCCAATGAAATCTTAAATTTAATAAGGTTGCATATCAAGTCTTTTAGAGGAAGACAATCGCATTATTCGCGGCGAGATAATCCGGAAAAAATATATTTGCCTGAAGAACTGACTGTAAGGAAAATGCATAAATTATTTTTGAATGAAGTTAAAGTTAACGCCTCCTATCTTGTCTACTACCAAGTTTTTAAAAACGAATTCAATATCTCGTTCGGTATGCCTAGAACAGATACTTGCGCAAAATGCGATGAACTAACGTTAAAAATAAATTCTACCGTAGACATTGAAACAAAACAAAAACTTATTCAAGAAAAAGATCTTCATTTGCGAAAAGCCGAAAAGTTCAGGCAAATAAAAAACCATTACAAATTAGAGGCTAGGGCCGGTAAATGCATGGCGATATCTTTTGATTTTCAACAAAATCTACCTTTGCCCCATATTAGAACTAGTGACGTCTTTTATAAAAGTCAGCTTTGGTATTATGTGTTTGGAATCCATGACCTGGCAGATGATTCAGCTAGTATGTACGTGTATACAGAGGATGTAGCAAAAAAAGGTGCCAACGACGTTACATCCATGATTTTACACTACCTGAATAATAAAGATCTCAGACATAGTCATTTAGTCATTTTTAGCGACGGGTGTTCCGGACAAAACAAAAACCATATTATGGTTTATTTTCAGTACATGTTAGTACACTCATTGAAATTATTTAAGAAAGTAACCCATGTATTCCCTATACGAGGTCATTCTTTTCTGCCTAATGACCAGGATTTCGCCCTTATTGAGAAAAAGAAACGAAGAAATAGCCCGGAAGTTCCCGAAGACTGGGATGCTTTAATACAAGAAGCGAGAATAAAGCCATCTCCTTTTGTTGTAGTTAATATGACTCGAGACATGTTTTTCGATATTCAAAATGCATGCTCTTCGTATTTTCTAAAAACTCCCCGACCAACGCTAGGTCTTCGAGAAGCACGCATTATAGAAATATCTTCCGATTCTGCATACGTTAAAACTAAAAATACTTATTCGGGATTATGGACCCACTCTGCTGTTAGAAATAAAAAAGCTTTACAAAGCTACATAGAGCTAAAGAAGTTGTATGAACAACCAATACCTATAAACAGTGTCAAAATAAAAAATGTAATATCTCTATCAGCCTTTCTGAAAAAACCAAGCAGTATTGCATTTTATGAAAAATTCAGTCTCACCGAATCTGGCACTAATATTGATATTGATGAGGATGATAATAGTGACGAGTGTGAGTAATACCTTAATTTGATTTTTGAATTTGTTTGTAAATTGAAATAAAATGATTTTAAAGAGTTTGGTACATTTTATTTTAGATTTTTGACAAAAACTGCCAATGTCAGATATTTTTTCCTAATTTACAAAAAAACTGATTCTTAAATATTATTCAAATATATCTTCAAATATATAAAATACAGGTATATTTACTTTACGAAGCCCAAAAAACTTATAAAGTTAACCATATCGGCTTTATGAAGTTTTTTTGATATTCTTAATATTTAAAAAAAATGACATTGGTTGTTTTTGCAAAAAACCCTTCAATTTTAAAAGACCGAAATAGAATTAAGACGTTTCATAATATGTTATCGCGTCACATTCCTCTCTTATCTCGTGTAGTTCCGTAAAAAATGTTGTTTGAAAGGTTAGGAAAGAATTTGGAAAGTTGGTTTTAAGTGTTGCTTTGCTTTGAGCATCGAGATTTTGAAATTTTCTCTGTTTAACAACCAGAGACGCATTACAAACTCGTAACAAACTGTAATTTCTTTAGATTAATAAGTAATAGTGACATTTCGGAGAGGTGATAAATTTTAATAATAAATATAATATTTTATTTTGGACTCGTACCTCACACAAATAATGTAAATAGTAAATACACAAACAATACATACAAAACGAAGATACCCAAGACAGACCAGAAAAAAACCAGGCCACTTATTTATTATAAAAGTTTATTAACGAATATCAATAATGATTATAATGATTCTATTTTTATTTAAACATTTAAGTATAGATTTTTAACTATTCATATACTATAAATTATAGCCCAAAGCAGGAGTAATGATTTATAAAACAACTCCAGATTTCCCTATCTGGCAAAGGAGTATGACAGGGAGACGCGATATCCCCAAAACTGTTTCCAGCAACACTAGAAGAAATCTTCCGTCGACTGGACTGGACCACCAACGGATTAAAATTAGATGGAGAATATCTTAACCATCTAAGCTTCGCCAATGACATAGTCTTAAGTAGAAGAATATATATATTTGGGACAACTAATACACAGCTCGTGATTTCTACTACCAGACGTTAACAGAAGAATTAAGTTAGCATGGAGTACTTATAAAAGAAACATACACAATCATATTCAAATCTAGAATGCCACTTTATCTAAAGAAGAAAACATTCGACCAATGTGTACTACCAGTCATGACCTATGCATACCAAACCTGAAACTTAAAACAGGCATTATAAGGAAACTGCAGGTCCCACAATGCCCAATGGAACGAAATATGCTGGGAATAACCAAGAGACACCGTAAAAGAATAGAGTGGATATGACAAAAGATTCAAGTAATAGATGTCATCCACAGAATCAAATCCCTCAAGTGGCAATGGGCGGGACACTTGGCAAGAAGGACGGGCAACAGATGGACGACAAAAATTACAGCATGGTACTCACGAGGAATTAAAAGACCTAGAAGAAGACCGAACCTCAGACAGCGCCATGATAAGAGGAAATTAGCAGGGATAACTTGGATCCGCATAGGCAAAAATAGACAACAATGGGCCCAACTACACAGAAAGTATCTAAATATGGGAGGGAGGCTACACCATAATCGGAAATGGTTGAATAAGCTGAGCATAATAATGATGATGATGCTACTATAAATTATAAAGTATATTTGTTTCTCTACCAATAATTTTGAATAATATAACTCGTAATTGAAAAATAATTATAACGTTACTAATTATAAAGTTTTACCATACATAAGTAAAACCATAACTTGCGTTTGAAAGCTGTCAGATTTGTAGTAAAAGTTCCGTGGCATGGTGTGAGCATTATAATTTATTTCGGTAAAGAAAGTATTCGTCAGGAGGTTTAGCAGTGAACACCCGCGAATACTAAGAACTGTCAGTTAAGTATTTGGAAGCAGTTCACAAACTTCTACGTAGAAAGATATACATAGAGCAGATATACACCTAGAGGAACTGGCGCTTATTTTTGAAGATTATGTCTTTAATATGGGGAAACAGACGGGAATTGTAAAGAATTTGCAAATGTGATCGCCAACCTCCACTAATGAGACGGCACGCAAAGAAGTTGAACCAAAAATATACTGCTCTCTGATGGGTTTCAGTAAATGATTAGAATAATAGTGGAAATATGTGAAAGTCTTAGTGACAAGTAGAAGTGTATACAGTGCTTCAGCTCCAATAATAGATGGCTAATAATAAGAGGATTTATAGGAAGGCATATAAAAAACAAAAGAAATAAATAATTTTCATCTAGAAAGAAAATTATTACGTCTTATTAGATGAATGACATGTAAATAACAGGCATTTTTCAAGTTGCGTTTTCCTAAAAAAATATATTTTATTTCATAACATTCTGGGATAATTTACCTCTTTTTATATATTTTCGTTTTTTATTTCTTCTTTTCGATTTTTTGTTTCTACTGCAAACATTCAAGAGAACCAATTAACATTCTAATAAATATCAAGACGATGTGTAGTTCAGTCAATCGATTTGATTAGCAGGAACGTCGTCGTGGTTGCCAGCGAGGCGAGGGGCCTCTTGCCTCGACCCAGCTAGACACACATACACACACAGACGCAGTCGAGATGTCATTTATAAATAAAGCGACCAGTTTCCTCATTCCGCGCTGGCTGGCCTGGCCTGGCTGTTGCGGACGAGGATGATGATGCTGAAAATTGCCGATTAATGCAACGAATTAATTTTTTAATACCTTCCTTTAATTTAATAATTATTAGGAATTTAATAAATTTTCTGAATATATTCCTATCTATACTAATAAATAAAATCCTTAAGTGACTGACTAACTGATTAATCACGATCCTGCTCAAACCACTCAACGTAAGAAGCTCACTTTTGGCAAACAGGTTGATTCTAGGGTGTAGAGGTTCGATAAGAAGAGATTTTTCGAAATTCCAGTTCCAAGGGGGTGAAACCACCTCTAAAATATTACAATATTTTTTATTTAAAAAACGGTCAAGTTTCCGAAAAAACGCTTAAACACAATAAAGAAAATGTATACAGGGTGTTTCGAAAAATCTGGTCATTGGTTAATCAAAATGCTTAAAGCGCTTGACGTAAAAAGCTGATTTTTAGAAAACGATTGACTTTAGGGTGGAGAGGTTTGATAAAAAGGGATTTTTCGAAACTCGAATTCTAAGGGGGTGAAACCACCCCTCAAATATTAGAATATTTTTTATTTAAAAACTGGTGAGTTTTTCGGAAAAACTCTTAAACACGTATATTTCATTTTGTTGTTTTGCATATTTAAGATTTTTTAAGAATTTATACAGGGTGTTGTGTTCCATTTAAAAAAATACAACTTTGATTTTTTTTATTTATTCGGGACACTCTGTATCTTGTAAAAATATTTTTAAATTGTAGCTCTAATAGTCCTTCAACGAACCCCAAACTTACAATTTGTAAAAATCTCATCGTTTAGCTACAATACTCCGTGTCGTATGTGGCGAACAACCCTGTACAGGGTCCAGATTTTTTTTAGTTTTATTTTATTTTATTAACTGTTATTACGTGAGGATGGCACATGTTTCTTGAAACATCCTGTATTAATGATGTAGATAGTAATACATCCGCAAAATATTTGAAAAATTTGAACAACCTGTTATTTTTGTAGACTTCTACGTTCTACGCCAATGGCTTATCAGGCACCCAAGGGATTAAGGGTACGAGATACGGGCCCGGCGTAGGTAACCCAAGATTATACAAGTCAACAGAAAAAGGACCGAGAAGGAAAAAGGAGACGGTGGAAAGGAAAAAAATAAACCGAAAAGAGGTAGAGTTTCGGGGACCTTGAAACCGCTTTTGGCCTGCCAGTTTTTTTACCCATCTATACGGATGCAAGTTGAAATTCATGGTCAAATAAAAGAGACAAAAAGTTGGTCGGCAGTGGCGGCAGCAATGGTCGAGCTGGTTCTTTTGCGAACCCAACGCTCTAATGAACTTCGACTAAACGAATTGCCGATTGGCGAAGATGTTTATTCCGTGTTCGATCTGCTTTAGTTTGGCCCCCAAACCAGCCTAATTCGTTCCGAGAAGCTGAAAGCTATATTTTTATTATATAACAGGAATATTACATAACAAGAATAGAGGTTTCTGCTTAATTAATACTAGAGAGCAAAACTAGAGTAAGAACGACAGAAAGAGAATAGTTTTATTAGCAAAAATTTTCTAGATATTTCTATAATCCAGTAGGTATAGGCATCGAGTGACACAAATTCAATTTTTCATATTGAATCGACTCTTACGATTCCGTTCATTTCAACAATCTACATACACATTTTACGTATAACAGTATAAACAGATATTTTACTTGTAAAATATGTATATTATACAGGGTGGTGCACCTCATTCGCCTCGGTTGATTATACGAAAACGGAAAGATGTAGAAACAAATTTTTTATGGGTATATGTAGAGAGGCAATGTGCATAATTTAAAATTGTTTTCAAATGTACAGTGTCGGTCAGAACTAAGATCTATACCAAAGTTATATTTTTTCTTATGGTACGCCCGGTATATTATTTCATTTTTGGATTCTTGGGCATAAAATAAGGCATTTATTATAATATGTTTAAATGCTTTGGTTTTTGAGATATTTAAAGATATTTAAATATGCATGCTATAATAAAAAAGTTTGTCAACACCTTGTAGATTACTTTCCAGAGTTAATTCTTGTGCAGACTTTAAAGCCAGAGAAACAAGCTTTACTAAAAAATTTTATTGCCTCTTTAAATGTATACAGGGGTATAAAAAATTGATGGCCTATTTTAAATATAATAGGTTTCAATAATTTGTTTGCTTTACTTTGATTAATCGTGATTTAACATTTTTTTGTAATTTGTAGAGTGATGAACCACCCCAAAAAATACCAAGGAGTGAAGAAGCAGAAATAACTACCTACTATCGAGGAAAATAATATCACTTTACTTACTACAGACTAGGAAAACCTACATTTAACAGAAAATAATATACCTCGTAATATGCCTGTATATTCCAGTATAAGATGTATAGACTTCTCATAGATCAAAATAAATTTTAGTTGAGTCAATGGTATTCGCTATTGGTTTAAGAAAAGTGTCTCTTTAATCAAGAAATGTCCCTTTTCAATCAAGAATTTTTGCATGAATCAAAGAGACTATTGTTCTTGAAGCAAGAACTTCTTTGCATATTAATTTTGGGTCAAGAGTGAAATACTTTGGACAGATAGATCTTCTATTCTCTAAAGTAATTTTTTCAAGCTTATGAAAAGAAAAAAAAATGCTTTGGGCAAAGAAACGTCGTTCTTGGTCCTATTGAAAAGCGCCAATCTTTTGGGTCAAAGTCAATTACCCTTATAATAAATGTCTTATTTTATATCCAAGAATCCAAAAATGAAATAAAATACCGGGCGTTCCATATTGTTTATCGCTAAGAAACCGCCCGTTTATCAGCTTTTCACATTTCTAATGAATTGCGCTTAAGGAACCTAAATGTAAGTGAACGGACTGTAAGAAGAACGGGATCACAACTTACCAGATTTGTTGACTAGGCCCAAAAGCGAAGGCATGGTTTTAACGTAAAAATTACGAAACGTGTCTTCTTCAAAAGCGAATATCTCCAACAAAAATAAAGCTATTGAGATGAACCAAAAAACAAATTATCGAGAAAGGATGTACCTAGATGATATATTTTTTAAATTCCTTGCTGTTTTAACATATTCCACAGGGTGTTGCAAATTTTTACCAAAATATCAACATTTTGCCCTTGTATAATAGACAGATGGGAACTTTCATTTTTAATTTAGAAAGAAGTACTAAAATTTCAAATAATTTAGCTACATATTGCTTAGAAAATCATCAAAATCGGCTCACAAAAACATAATAATTTCAACTAGGTACATCAAAATTTTAAGGTGCCCGTTTTTCGTGCAGGTGAGTATATTACAAATGTTTTTGGGTACTGAAGCTCATAGAATTCTCCCCCAAATTTGCATAATCTAAGCACCGCCACTGGACACAACATCTAGGACATGAGGACGTGAGATAAGGAACTACAGTCGTATATTTACTACCCATCCAAACATGGTGCTATTTGAACTAACGTCAATTTTGAAGATAAGAGCCTAAATTTCATAAATACTTTATTTATAAACTTATCTATCGAGAAAAGATATGTAAAGTTCGAAATCTTGTGTATTGGTTTTTCGATTATCAGTTGTGAAGATAAATAGGGTCTTAGATAGGGTCCCTTGTTAAATGAAGGAAGATAAGACTTGTTTTCACAGCAAACATAAATAATCGTTCAGCTTTAAGATAGAATGTTTGTATAGAATTTTTCTTTTTGGGGAGGCTGGTCATAAGCGGTGCATTTCCTTTTTGGCTGATTCTCAAGAATATATTTACAAGTATGTAATTCTTAAGGACAATAATTATATATCCTAAGGCAATAATAGAAGCCCTAGAGAAACAAAGTTCGCCAATATATACAAAGAAGTATTCTCTAAGGCTCTTTATTTGCTCCCGACAGACATTAACAACATCCAGTAAACCTCTACCTCCAAGATTTCGAGGGAGGGTCACCCGTTCCGTAGCGCTTCTTGGGTGGTGATTTCTAAATTTGGTTAAGGTTGTTCGTACCAGGCGATTTAGGGATTCCAAGTCTGTATGGGTCCATTTGACTATTCCAAAAGAATATGTAAGAACCGGTAGGGCGTAAGTGTTTATTGCTTTAAAGAGGTTCTTAGAATTGAAACCTGTCTTTAGAAGGGAGGTAAGTCGCAGACGGAAGGCGGTCGATAGGCGGTTTTTAATAATTCCATGTTCTATTTTGTGCGTTTGCAGCATTCCAAGATATTTATACGGCTCAGTCGACATTGAGGAGATAATTGTTTTCTCATCTAGATTCAATTCTGGTGTTTCGCATAGTTTTCCTCTTATGATTGAAACAGTCTGACATTTGCTCGTACCAAAGGTCATTCCAATATCTGCGCTGATTTTATGAACGGTACGCAGAAGATTTTCAAGTTGGTTTTTTGTTGCAGCATATATCTTCAAGTCATCCATGGATAGTAGGTGTGTAATGAGATGACGTCTGTTTCTCGTTCGTAGTGAGAATCCATAACCTGTTTCATTGATTATCCGCGACAGTGGATTTAAGGCTAGACAAAACCAAAGGGCGCTAAAAGAATCCCCTTGGAATATCCCTATACGAATTGGAATTTTTGGCGATGTTATATCAAAGGGAGCAGACCTGAGGTTGAGGGAGGTCGTCCATCAAGGCATGGTCTCCTTAAAGAATCGGCAGATTTTGGGGTCAACATTGTAGATTTCTAGAACTTGCAACAGCCAGCTGCGTGGTATGGATTCGAACGCTTTCTGATAGTCTTGTTATTTATTTATTATTATTAATATGATAATCAATTACAGCATGGTACTCACGAGGAATCAACAGACCTAGAAGAGGACCAAACCTGAGATGGGACCGTGATATTAAGAAATTAGCAATGCTAACTTTGGTCCGCATAACCAACAATAGATAACAATGGTTCCAACTACAAAGAGATTATCTAAATATGTGAGGGATGCTACATCATAATTGGAAATGGTTAAATAAGCTGAAAATGATGATTATAAAGAAAATAATCAATCCATTTTAATGTCTGGTATTTTATAATTCCAGAAATCCAAATTAAAATAGGTATATTGCTTAAGCTTATACTGATAAGTCCCAGGTAAAACTTCCAGTGTATACCTACGCCAATTTATATTCCGTCTTTACCTGACAAGTAAAATATTATACGCAGACTATGCTAAGAGTTGAGACTATGCTGTCGCCAGTTCCGTTTTACCTGGCACGCAAGACTAACAGGTAAAACGTTATGTGTAATTGGGGCTTTAGCAAGATATTACAATATACAGGGTGTTCCTTAATGACATGCTAATATTTAAGGGGGTGATTCTTGAACCAATTTTGAAAAAAAATAACTTCATATAATAGTATGTCCTAAACATCTTAACTTTTCAGATACAGGGTGGTAATTTTTTTTTCAAAAACGCTCTGATGTTATACAGGGTGTTTCAAAAAACGTGTGCCATCTTTCGTGAAGAGATTCCTCACGTAAAAATTAAATTTATTTTTCATATCAACATAGGTCCGATTCAGCTTTGTTTCGTAGCTACAGGGTGTTAAAATCTTATTAATATTTTTTTAAAAAGGGTTAAACGCCAGCATTTTGCCAAAAGAGCAAGTAGAGAAAAGAACTGACACGCCACTGGATTGTCCATTATTAGTGTCTTAAGAAAGTTTTTACTGAATTTTATTATTCCACGAAATACAAAAGTTATGGGCAATTTTCCAAATGGTAAATCTCGGGCACTAACGTGGCAGCTTGTTGAATATTCAAAGACTCGTCACTATCATCAAAGCTATCACGCATTTTTTCACAAAAAATTGTAGGAAATACGGCGACGTTTGAACCTGACAGAACTTTGCCTTTAAACAACGCATAAACAATGCCTAAGCCCACGGCCACACAGAAAGCGTTTTAGCGTTTTGCGTTTTTTTGCGTCTCGAGCGCTTTTTGCGATTTTACCGTTTGAAGCGCTTTTTTCGATTTGTGTCCATTAAAAACACGCAAAAGACGCGGCAGATTGTTGCAGCTTCTATCAAGATGTCAATTAGTAACGTCGCAAGTTCGTGGATTCCCGGCCCGTCCAACAATCAATCCTGTGAGAAAGAGATAGGCGAGATCGGCGCCGTTAGCGTTGAAGAGACGAAGATAGAAGATCCTGGGATTGAATTGTGGACGGGCCGGGGCATATATTCGGAGACAAACACAATCTACTGCTAACGCCAGTGGTGTGTGTAAAAATAATAATTAAATGATCAATTGACTTACCTTAAGGAAAATTGATTCATATTATACGAGTATTGCCGTTCGAAGAATTACAATAACTACTTGTAGTCGCAATTTTTTCCAAGCTCGGTCGACACGAATTTTAAAGCAAATTTCCAGGATTTCCTACTACGGCCCTGCTCTCTCAGCTCACTCCTGCCTGCCCGCTACCACAAGTCTTCACTGCAATTTTGCTGCAAATTCTAGATCAACCTGTCGGGACGGGATGATGGGATGGGTTTGTAATTTGAACGGCAATACTGTATAATATGAATCAATTTTCCTTAAGGTAAGTCAATTGATCATTAATTATACTTCGTATTGCCGTTCTCGAATTACAATAACTACTTGTAGATGTTCAAAGAAACGGATCTAGAATTTCCACGAAAAATATATTTGGGAAAAAGACAATATCCAAAAAACAGTATTTTGCTTAATAACTAGCACTAATTAAAATTATGTATATACTAATAAAGAACATAAGTACCTAAAAACTAATTACAAGTATTCCCAAAAGATTCTAAGATCCCTTTAGCAAATGCTGTAGGATCTTCTGACAGGGGTCGATTATAAAATTTTGCAAACATGTTGGACCTTTGTGTCCAGCCTGCTGTGCTTCGAATAACCTCAATGGAAATTCCAGCCCTATATGCGGCCGAAGTGGCAGCATGTCGAGTACTGTAACCCGAAAATTGAGTGGTATCGATGCCACTAGCCGCAAGAGTAAGTTTAATCCACTTACTCAATCTCTGAGTTGATACTGAGCGAAAAGGCTTATTAACAGTCAGGATTAAGAAGTCTGTTTCAGAAGAACGAAGATTTTTTGTGACATGTATATAGTGATCAATAACAGAGGCTAAACAAAGAGGTGAATTTTCCTTAAAATATGGTATTATCAGTAGAGGTTGTAAATGTTTGGAAGAGGAAGTTTTGATTATATCCGAAATTTTAATTTCTAAACGATCTGGAAATCGAGTTATATTTTGTAAACGGATACGTGTCAAAGTTTGTAGTCTATGACCTGTAATTAGTGCTAATAATGTACTTAACTTCATCGTTAATTGAAGCCTAGAAATTTCGGACAAAGGATATAAAGTGGCTAAATGTAACAGACCAGGGTGTGGATCCCAGGTAGTTTGATACCTTGGTCTAGATGGTTTCTGATTATAAATACGTCTATCAGAGTTGCTTACTGAAAAAAGAAGGACTATAGCAGCATGTTGCGAGTTAATTGTAGAATAAGAGGCACCATCTTGAAATTGAGTGCTTAAAAAGGTCAGTACCAAGTTTAAGGAATACTCAAAAGGATTATGGCTCCTTGTGCTACAAAAAAAAACCACCATTTTCTCAAGTATGTAGTGTACTGTTTTAAGGCCGATGGACTAAGAGAAGATTTCATAGTCTGAAGTCCTATTGTTGGAACACCTCTTCTCTGAAAAGCCTCCCGGATAAAATTCCAACCTCCAGGGAAAGACTTTGCCATAGTGGATGATGTTTCCTAAAAGGCGAAGAAAGAAGAGTTTGATTTGGTGCGAAAACTAAAGGTTTTGTTATAAGAAGTTTGTGAAAGACAGAGTACCATGGCTGAGTATTCCAGCAAGGTACTACCACTATTCCTTGGGCTCCTTCAGCAATGATCTTTTGTAAACATTTTGTTATAAGACTAAATGGGGGAAAGGCATAGAAAAATTCACCTTTCCAAGAAACTGTGAATGCATCTACATTTATAGAATTAGGATCTGGTTTCCAGGAGATATATCTAATACACTTTGCATTTAATTGTGTTGCAAATAAGTCAATAGTAGGTGTTCCAAAGCAGCGACATATTTCCTGAAAAGCAGAAATCGACAGTTCATACTCTGTATTAATTAAAGTCGAACGGGATTCCCTATCTGCATGAATATTCTCTTTTGTATTAATGTATGAGGCAACTATGAAAATATTTCTATTCTCACACCACAACCAAATTTGTCTTGTGATATTATTAAGACTCCGAAACTTTACACTACCCATACGATTGATGCAGGCTATTGCTGTTACATTATCTACTCTAAGCAAAATGGAACAATTAAAATAATCTGAGGCAAACGATCTAAGTGCATTAAATACTGCTAGCAATTCCAAATAATTAATATGCTTTTTACTGTCATCTACATTCCAAAAACCATGTGTCACTTCATTTAAACAACGGGCACCCCAACCTGTTAGAGAAGCGTCCGTATACATTTCAAGAGCAAAGTCTGTATCTACTACAATAGGCCTACCTATGTTCTGGCTTAAAGTGTTATACCACCAATTCAGCTCAGATTTCATCGAATTTGAAATTAATAGTGACGACTCATACACATGGTTATTAGAGCGTAATGCTAAATACTTTTTTCGTTCTAAAATTTTCAAATGAACCCAACCGTATTTAACAGTGGGACAAGCAGCTACAAACCTTCCTATGAGTTCAGCTAGGGACAGAATAGAGCATCTACCTTTTGATAAAAGTTTTGTAATTTGAAGCAAAATGAGAGTCTTTTTTTGCATCGGCAAATAGACTCTGAACGATACAGAGTTATATACAAAACCCAGAAAAGTACATATTTGAGAAGGTACTAAAACACTCTTCTTTAAATTAAGTAAAAACCCTAACGATTCCAGAAGAGATTTTGTTGTTTGACAGTCTTTGTTAGCAGCCTCTACAGTTTTGCTTATAATGAGTATATCATCCAAATAGATAACACAGACAATGCCATTAGACCTTAGAAATTTTACTACAGGCTTCATAATCTTTGTGAACACGAATGGAGACGTACAGAGACCAAAAGGTAAACAATTAAAACTATAATATGAATCTTTAAAAGAAAAAGTTAGATATTTTCTAAATTTCTTATCAACTGGAACTAAAAAATATGCATCTTTTATATCCAGTGATGTGAAGAAACAATCTGGATATAATAATTTAAAGACAGTCCTATAATCCTCTAGTTTAAAGTGAGGAGGTCGTAGAAAACGGTTCAAAGCCTTGAGATTTAAGATAAATCTAGATGAGCCATCGGGTTTTGGAACCAAGAAAATCGATGATAAAAACTGACCAACTCTCGGACGTGTCTTAGATACTGCCCCTATTTGTAATAATTGAGCAATAGCTTTCTCTACGTTAGATAACTCATTTAAGGTAAAAGATGGTCTTGGTAAATTTGTTTGTATTGGTTTTTTATAAAACGGAATCTCATATCCAGAAATACAAGAGAGAACAAAGGGATCATTAGTGATTAGAGCCCACTTATCCAAATAGTCAGAGAGTCTACCGGCATAATATGTATTTACCTGACTCACTAACAACTGTTTTTCACTAAGAAGATCTTCTGAAGGTGTTATTGGCGGCGAGTATACGCGCCCCTGGAACGATACCTCCCCTCCTCTTTTTTCATGCGGCTCCGGGGCTGGGTGCGCCGAAAGTTTAAAGATTGTAAACCTGAAGGACCAGCTCTAGGTTCACTGATAGCCTTGCGGGTTGCCAGAGCCTTTGAAGGAACATATTTTGGACCCTTATCCTTCTTTTTAATGCTAGACCCTAGACGTTGCGCCTCATTTGAACTCTTCAACTGCTCCGGAAATGATTTTCCAAACAAAAAATCATCTATGGGACAAGAATCCAATACTGTCCTTACTCCGCTGTCCAAAAAAGGGACGATACCGTGGCGTCGATGTAAGGATAAGGCGTGAAATACATCCGAAAAAATCTTTACTGGGTCACATTTCTTTTCCAATTCTCTCTTTGTTTCCTCTGTTGCCTTTTCTTTGGTTATCTGATACTGCCCATTAAGCTCCATCGCTAATATGCTTATGCCAGCCGCTAACTGTGATTGCAATTTCATCAAAAAGTTATCCTGTTTCAAAGCATTTGCATCTAAACAAGACTTTATTTCTTGGTTAACTGCAGGGGGCTGGAGCGCTGAGCAGTTGGCAATACAGGGATAAGAATCTAAAACAGCAGTACGAGATTCTTTATCAATCCCCTTAAGAAGAAAGCCAGAAAGAAGATCAGATACATCTGTATGAATTATAGGTCCCTTGTTGGTTGAGGACTGGCTACTTAATAAAGACAAAATATTCTGCGCGCCCCCATCAACCAAATCAGTATTAATATTTTGATTCGCAGGAGGATCCGCAGACACCAAATTTACTAAAGGGGCATCTGAATCCAAATCCGTCCCTGACTCTTCATTTGAAGAAATCTCAGACGAGCCTGTAATAAAAGCACAATTCAGGCGCAAATATTATATTACATTAGTTCTAAAAATTAGTATCGATAAGCGCCGACCGTGAGTCATATGACAAACCTGGTCGAAGCTATAACTTTGAAACAGGCTTAAATGTTTACATTAGTTCCAAGCCTATATTGCTGATGTTTCAAGAATCACAATACAATTGATAAGCTCAGCTTGACTCGGCCACGCTCGGCCATGGTCCGACCTGGCAATAATATATTTCAATAGCATGCATGTGAATACTATTGAAAAATGAAAAATATCAGATATTCTATATATCACACTTCATTTGAAGGTGCTAAACAATAGAAAATCAGTCTGATTCATATGAATCCTGTAAGATATTTTCATTTTAAGCGAAATACATATGTAAACGCTGTAATTAGAAACAAGACATGTGTCTGTTTTTTTATCGCCTTTAAAAGTTAACCTAAGGAAAGAAAAATAAAATAGCAATATTCCCACTTACTTGAGCTGTCTAATAATTGCAATAATTTCTTGAGCTTTTTCTTCTGTTTATGAGACACCTGCTTTGAGACTTTTCCCATTTTTCACACAAATCACTTTAACACACAAAATTTAAGCGTCAACACCGAGCACACGAAAAAATTGCAGTGAAGACTTGTGGTAGCGGGCAGGCAGGAGTGAGCTGAGAGAGCAGGGCCGTAGTAGGAAATCCTGGAAATTTGCTTTAAAATTCGTGTCGACCGAGCTTGGAAAAAATTGCGACTACAAGTAGTTATTGTAATTCGAGAACGGCAATACGAAGTATAATTATTATTATTTGCCATTTATTTTACGAACTTTAGTTTATATGTTTATAGTTTTTTTATGTTGTAGTGTTTGTGGTAGTACTTGTTATAATTATAATATAATTTAATAAATAATTATAATTATATAATAGAATAGTAATATTTCTAGTTGCTAATGCAATTTTAGGATGTGATTTATGAAACATTTTGGAGTCAAATTTCTTTACGCGTGATGGGAGTAAAAATTCAAAGCCGTGACATACGAGCTAGTGAGACGGCCCTGACACACGAGCTCGTTCTAACGAAACGTGTTAACGGCTTAGAAATACGTAGTGATGCGACGTGTATTTGTGAGCAGTCCACGTGTTTATCAAAAATATTGATGTTTTAATACAAATTTTGTAAAACTGAATCAAATTATTAAGTTACGTGTAAAAATCTATTTGTTACACGTAAAAACTATTTTTTTACGCGTCAGAAACTTATTGTTTCTGGTAGAAAACCTTTCTTACGCAAAAAAATATTTTTTACGTGTAAAACACTATTTGTTACACGTAAAAAACTAATCTTTACGCGTCAAAAACTTATTGTTTCTAGTAAAAAACTTTTACACCCAAAAAACAAAATTTACGTATAAAAAATTATTTGTTACACGTAAAAAACTATTTTTTACGCGTCAATAACTATTTGTTTCTGTTAAAAAACCCTTTTTTACGCAGAAAAAAACACTTTTTACGCATAGAAAAACCTATTTTTTAGGCGTAAGAAAATATTCCTTTAATTTATTACTTTTTCAACATAAATATTTCCTTCAAATTATTGAATTTAATAGAATCTTCGTAAACAGTAGATATTCTTTATAAAAATATTTTTAGATAATACCGTAAAATGAAAAAAATGCATACTATTTAATTTATTTTTATTGTATTATTAAATATAACGTCCGCCTATGACGGGGTCTCATCTTAGAAAACGCTAAAGACGCTACAGAAAACAAACTGATTTGTTTTCATTTGCGTTTTTTGCGAGACACGCCGAACGCTACACGCTGTTGGTGTGGCCACTCCTATATAATCCTGTTACTTTGTTTTAGTCGCTAAAAACGTAAAAAACTTCTGTGTGGCCGTGGGCTTAGAAACCGATTACCAGAAAATGTTTAAAAATAATAATAATAGCATCAAAATTTCAGATTTTATCCGCTTTCGCAAAAAATCTTGTATGAAATTCGTTGCGAAAAGAGTGTTTTAAACACTCGACGAATTGTCTATTGACAATTTTGCGTCCCGCGCTTAAAACACATTCATTTCGCAACTTGTTACATAAATAGCTATTTTAATGTATAATATTTTTCCGATAATTTAATAATTATTCTGATATTCGGGACATTAAAATGGGACCAGTCATTTTTGAGTTATAAATGGTGTAACTTGCCCGACATTGTTTTATTTATTCAGATTATCATTCAATGACTATTTATTTCCTTTAGTTGATTTAATTGGTCTTAATTACAAAAAAGTTGTGAAGTAAATTTTTAGCATTTTCAGTCTTTAAGAAGGGATAATTAATGCCATCTTTACCAAGAAAGGAACTGTTTACAAACAAACCCATTTTAGTATGCTGCGCTGCGATCGACGTAACATGTGAAAGGAAACGAGTATTTTATAACCAGAACCGAACTATTTACAAACAAACAACAGGACCAGCCTAAAGGGGATCGACTATTTTGTTTTAGAACCGCAGCGAAACTTTGCACGGAGCTATCCCTTGCCTTGGTTTGGTTTCGACCATCGTTGGTTTCGGCCACAACGGGTTGGGTTTTTGGTACTCTCTTTTTTATTTGACTGTGAATTTTAACTTGCACCATCATCGGACATTAGAAGCGCAATATTTTTATTTTAAATAGGTAGAATACAGTCTGATCACTAAGAGCGACGCTGGCTGATGGTCTAGAGTTGATGTAACTGGAGGGTGGAGAAAGTATAAATTGGAAGTAGGTATGATAAATAAAATTTGTATTGTATTTATTCAAATTACAAATATATGTACAGGGTGGGTCAAATTGGACGCTTTTAAATGGAAACACCCTTTTCCATAGGAGATAGACGAAAACTAATATCGGTGTCTGGAGCTCAATTTTTATCAAAGACATGATGGTGAAAACCGCATATCGATATCGGAGTTACGGGTTACCGTTTCGGAGTTACGGGGTGTTTTTCAAAAATGTGCATTTTTAACAAATCGCTGTAACTTTTTTGCTATGGAAAATTTTGAATTTTTATGAAAACATTCCCAAAGCATCTTTTTACGTAGAATTTAATGGTTTAAGTATAATTCTTTTAAAATTAATAATTTAAGAATTATCAACAGAAAATTTGATTTTTTAAATGGGACACCGTGTATATTTTTAACTAATTGGAAATAATTTAAAATTACCTTTCCAAAAATATAGCATACTTGATATTTTGCTCAATTTCTCTTCGAGATATAGAGTTTATTAAAATTCGCCCACTTTGTATAAGTAGGCTTTGAATGGCGCCGGCTCTAATGGAAAAAAACTAGCCGGTGAACAGCAATTAAAACGAAAATAATATTTGCAATGAGAGATACAGAATTTTATAACAATTTAAACTATATTTAACCAACATTAACACATTTAAACTATATCTGATGACAATAAAAATAAATAGCAAACCCAGACATGAGATTTTGCTTCAGGTGTTCGACATATCGACGGTCTTTTGTTATGGACAAACGGGGCCGTTTTTGAACATTTCTCGCGAAATTCATTAACTCAGTGGGGGTGAAAGGTACCCTCTCATAACTGCTAAGTATTTTTAGTTCTTGTCTAGATTATACGGAATAATAAGGAACCTTTATTCTTTCGCAAATATATCCATAGGATTACATCCATGGGCACTAAGTCAGGCGGCTTTGGCGGCCAACGGCTGGGATCTTGATTAGCTATCCAATTATTCTTGAAATTGGCTGCAAAAATTTGCTGATAACTTCAGCGTTCAGAGGCGGTGCGTCGTCTTGCTGGAAAAATATGTTTTCGAGTTCTATTAAGGGCTTATTATCAATAAGGGGTCCAAAGCCTACTAGTTAAAAGTGGCGAACTTTTAAAAATTCTGTATTTCGAAGGGGATTATGACAAAATATCAAGTGCGCTATATTTTTGGAATGGTAATTTTAAATTCTTTTCAGTTAATTAAAAATATAAAGGGTGTCCCAAATAAAAAATCAATTTTTCTGTTGATAACTCTTAAATTATTAATTTTTAAAAAAATATACTTAAACCATTAAATTTTACGTAAAAAGGTGCTTTGGAAATGTTTTCATAGAAATACAAAATTTTCCATAGCAAAAAAGTTACAGCGATTTGTTAAAAATGCACATTTTTGAAAAACACCCTGTAACTCCAAAACGGTAACAGATATTGATGTGCGGTTTTCACCATCATTTTTTTTGATGAAAATTGAGCTCCAGACACCGATATTAGTTTTCGTCTATCTCCTATAGAAAAGGATGTTTCCATTTAAAAGCGTCGAATTTGACCCACTCTGTACATATTACAAATAGTTCAGGAATCGACAGCTAAATCCTTTAATTACTCATAGGAAACTGTGGTTGTACTAACAGTTCATACCGAGGGGTGTCTCACTTGGGTAAAAAGTTTACACGTATCGCCAAAATATCATTATACTGCCAATGACTGCGAAGAAGACTGCCTATGTCTGCCATATAATTATTAGGGTGTCTGTTATTTACAAAGTTGATTATTTCTCTCACAGCACCCTCTAAATTTTTAGTTTATTACCTAAAAAAAGAACAGACCATTATAAACCCTTAATATTCACAATAAACCTTGCCCCAAAGACGATTCATTTCCCATTTAAATTACATGGGTATTTACCACTTTTTGCAAGTATTTTATTTTCTCTCATCATCATGACAATCACACATTCTTGTACAGAATTGAAAGCTCTACAAAAAAAATTTCTTACATTTTTTCGATAAACCTACTCCTTCAAAAGTTATTCACGGTTAAAGTTAACCACTCGGTAAATTCCTAAAGTTCTTTAACTTTTTTGACAAAATTATGATGAATTATCAAAATATTATTGAAAAATTTAATATATTACTGTAAAAATATACAATTCTGATGGTGTTAAGGTTGGAAATTTAGAAATCTTCAAGTCTAATGAAGTTTAAACCATTTAAGTATAGCTGATTTATTTTATTTAGTTGGATTTTGATATTTCTTCTTATACTCGCTTACAATCTGAATCACATATTGTTTCTCATCTTCTTCTTCTTCTTAAGGTGCCGTGCAGATTCCTGCGTAGGCGTTCATCTTTTTCTTCCTCATCAGATGGTTCTGTTAACTGCCGCGACTTGGAGTGCTTGGAAGTCCTGTATGCCTGTCCAATGACGAATATTTCTCAGTCAAGATAGCTTCCTTCGTCCTATCCCCCTTTTGCCCCCTCTATTTTACCCTGGAGAATCAGACGCTGAAAGTGATAGCGTTCTCCACGTAGTATGTGTCCCAAATAGGCTATTTTATTTTTCTTGATGATTTCGAAGAGTTCACGTTGTTCCAGACCAGCTCTTCTGAGAATGTCTTCATTCCTAACACGGTCGACCCAGGGCACTCTTAGCATTCGTCGTAGGGTCCACATTTCGAAGGCTTCAATTCGGTTTATTGTTGCTACCTTCAGTGTCCATGCTTCCACACCATATAACAAAACGGACCAGACATATCACTTCACCATTCTGTATCTAAGGCCGAATTTCAAATTCCTACCTGTGAGAAATCTTCGCAGTCTCAGAAAAG